GAAGCAGCTGCGGCCCTCATCGCGGACTCGGCCGCCAAGGCCAAGCAGATGGCCACCGCGGCGGCCAAGGGCAAGGGCAAGGCCGCTGGCGCAGACGCACCCGCGGGATTGCAATGCGGGTGGCCCCGCTAGGCCAGGGGCTGCAGCCATGGGCCGCGCAGAGGAATCCAGCAACAGGGCGCAGATCCCCTTCGCCAACATCACGGAGTGGGACCCGCAAGCGGCCAACTAATGTCGCACCTTCGGCTCCCAGTGCCATATCATCGCGCTTGCTGAGACGCATGTGGACGTTAGGGGCCTCAGCGAGCTCCATGGGGAGCTGGCCATGGGCGGATGGAAGCGCGCTGCTACCCCAGCCCTGCCTTCGAGAACTACAGGGGGCACTACCTCATGACCCGCAAGCGACTGCCCTTCGCGGGGCTCTCCCCTGCCACCTTGCATACCATAAGCGGCAACGTCGTGAACGTTGCCTCATACCTGCGGCCTGGCCTCCGCGCGACAAGGGTGCCAATGTGGACATCCCCATGTCGATCTCCACGTTCGTGGAAATGCTCGCCGACCCCTGGATCACCCTGGCCGGCTGGAACTACGAGCCGCCTCGGTGGACCGACAAGCCGTGGCCCGCCCGCTGGAACGGCACGGTCGTCACCGACCCCTCCTGCACGGCCACGTGCGACAAGGGAGAGGGTTCCGTCGACGACTACGCGATTGCCAGGAGGGGCACCGCCGCGCACATCGCAGACCAGGCCGCATTGGACGCGCCGTGGAAAACCCACTGCGGCATCCAGGTCAGTCGGGTCAGCCGCGCCGTGGAGCGACACAGCTATCAAGGTGCCCATAGCCCTCCCCGCGCGAATCCGACCCAAGAAGGGCCCTGACCCGCTCGGCAAACGGTCGAAGGCTCGCGCGGAGGCGCTGGGAACCAGGGGACAGGATGCCCGAACACCTGCGCGAAGAGTTCGACGCCCCCCAGATCACCAACGACCCGCCGCCCCCCCCCCCCCGAGGACGACGCGCCGTTCATTATCCCCAGCACCGACTGGGGCAAGGCTGTCGGCATCGTCGACACTTGCCCCAGGTCCGAGGGGGCACTTCGTGGGCACGAAGGAGGGCAGGGGGCACATCTTCCACGCGGACGCGCCCAACACCGCGAAGCAGGTCAACACTGCCCACGCGCAGTGGATCGCCGCGATGGAGACCGCCTTCCTGGAGACGCACAATGCCCCCACCGAGGAGAGGGCCAAGCACCAGGGCAGGGCGCATGGCTACAAGACCGCGCGCCAGATCACGCGGGCGACGCCAGGGCGCACCTACCTCACGGATCCCGAGGAGGGATGGCGGCAGCACTTACTTCAGCACGCCCCTCATTCGCTACACCGCCCTGGTCACCAACGACAAGGAGACCCACGCCCAGGGGCCGCTCATGAAGAACAGCCAAGCCAGGCGAAGCTCAACCAGTTCGACAGCAACGACTTCCACTAGGACCACTTTGGCTCCACGGTCGACCCCAATCGAGGTCAGCGAGTGGAAGCTCCAGGCCGCCTCCCTAGACTTCTGCGACGAAGGGGGCCTCCACCACATATGCGATACCACAGAGTTCCACCGTCATTCTGCACTGTGTGACGGCACTGCCGTTTCGATATATGTTTTCTGTTTCGCCGTCGCGCTGCGCTGCGCGGCGGCACTATTGTTGCGACGCGCCCCTGTTATCCTTCGCAGTCGCGCTGCGCTGCGTGGCTGTATCCTTGTTTCGACGCACGTGCCTGTCTTTTTCCGCGGGCGCGTGCGCGTCTGTGGCTAAGTGGCAACGCCCTCGTACGTCGCGCCCAGGGGGATGCGTTGTCTCCCCCTCGTTCGACGTTTCTGTCACTCGCCGCGGTCGCCCGCTTGCACGGCGCAGCGTGGCGCTGCAGCTTCCCTTCGCTTGGCCGCGCCGCAGCAGGCGGCGAAGCGCCGTGCCCCCGCCTCGCCGCATACTTCGCTCGCGGCGCGGCTTTCGGCACCGCGCGGCAAGCCGCGCCCTGCGAGCGCGAATTTTCGAGGTGGGCGGTGTCCAAGACCTCGCGGCTCTGCTCTTCCGCCACCCCCCATGTCCCTTTCCCTCCAACTGCCTCCCCTTTATCCCCGCTCCTTGTCCCTTCCTCCAGCTGCGCCGCCGCTGCGCCGCCGCTGCCCTTGTCCGCGAGGCCGTTGTCTTCGGGGTCCGCTTCGGGAGGACTGTCCCGCGGCGGGGCTGCGGCCGCGCGGGCGCCGTTCCACTCCCGGTTTTTCTGTTGGGGGGGGGCCCTTCGACGCGCGCTCGCATGGGCCTCCTCGCCCTCCGACGTCGAGGTGCTCGGGCGCCTGCGGCCCGCCTCTCGGGCCAGCCACCGCCACTTCCCCTTTCGAGAAGAGTGCTCAGGGCGCACCGATCCTCTCGGCCTAGGGCCTGTGCACCCCGAGCATTTTCTGGAGAGGAACTACAAGAATTACACCCTCCGCGCAGCGAGAATTCATCGAAACAAAAGCGCACAAGAGCAGGGGGCGCGAAGGAAGAGAGAGACGGACGCGGTCTGCCGATGACCCGAGTGCCACATGCCTCCTCTCAGTGCGATGCTAAGACTTCAGCGCCGGTGGGGATTTCGCAGTCAGAGGCGGCAAAGAAATGTCCACGCCGGGACGCGTAACGCCGAAACGCCAGAGTTGGAACACTCAACAGAAGGATCGGTGTACCCTGAGATCCTGGCGCCTGCATTTTTTAAACACCAGGCATGGTCGCCCGGTTTCTTGTGCCAGGACCATGATGGATCGATCTAGTCCGAAAAATGTCGCAAACTGTTGGGGTCTAGGGCTCCCGTCGTGATTGTTCGGGATGTTGTTTTTTCCGTAATGTCGGATCTCTGGGGGGGAACTGAGCCACGTAGCCCGTAGCCTTTGCCCACATGCCCTCTCCAGGGCCCCTCGCGCCGGCGACGGTGCGCCTGGCACCCGCGCGGGGCCTGTCGGCTTTCGGCTGGCGGCGGCAGGCTTCGTTCGTTCGCTCGCCGCCCCAGGGATCGCCATGAAGGAAACGGAGTCCTGATGCGAAGCGGGTCCTGATCATTTGTTTTCCTATTGCCCCCCGTGGTGCGCGAAGAGTTGCAGGCGATGAGGAGATTCCTGTTTTCCTCCTGGCCCAGCTTGACGGGACCGCTAGGGCACTCGGCTACTCGCCTACGCGGCCTCGTTCATCGACGTCGTTGTTGGCAATCCGCTCCCTGCACAAGTTTTTAACCCGCGGCTGAGCAGCGCGCTTTCCTCTTCTTCCAAGCAGGGGAGCGTTGCCGTTCCAGGACCTCCACATGATCCGTAAGGGCTTCGCCCCATGCCGCTGGCCCCCTGTCTCGGATAATGGGAGATGCAAAAGCTAAATCATGATGTTTGGGCGCTGCCGTGAAGCAATGTCGAGACCTGTTTGTTGTTCGACCCTGACCCTACGGATCTGCGTGAAGGGGTGCCACCGAATTTCAGAAATGTTGCAAATCCCTGTATTTTTGGACCCTGACCCTACCGATCTCCGTGAGGGGTGCCGCCGAATTTCAGAAATGTTGCAAATCCCCTGTGTTTTTGGACCCTGACCCTGCCGATCCGCGTGAGGGGTGCCACCGAATTTCAGAAATGTTGAACATCCTTTGTGTTTTCGGACCCTGACCCCGCCGATCTGTCTGAGGGGTGTGAACGAACGTCAGACATGTGGCAAATCCTATGTGTGTTTGCACCCTGACCGCGCCGATCTGCGTGAGGGGTGCCACCGACTGTCAGACATGTGGCAAATCCTATGTGTGTTTGCACCCTGACCGCGCCGATCTGCGTGAGGGGTGCCACCGAATGTCAGACATGTGGCAAATCCTCTGTGTTTTTGGACCCTGACCCTGCCGATCTGCGTGAGGGGTGCCAGCTAATTCTGGAAAAATCCCATGTGTTTTTTGGGCCCTGACCCCGCCGATCTACATGAGGGGTGCCACCGAATTTCAGAAATGTGGCAGATCCCCTGTGTTTTTGGACCCTGACCCCGCCGATCTGCGTGAGGGGTGTTAATTGTGTCCCACCCCAGCAATTCAGAGCACACGCTCAGGGCGTGCTAAACCTGCCCGTTTGGGCCTTCCCCCCCTCGCGCGGTCCATCAACAAGGAACAGCAAGCAGCAAGAAGCAGAATTGTAACAGTGGAAATTGGAAGCTGCAACTGGCACAGGAAACTGCGAACCTTCGGCCTACAGCCTGGTGGCCCCACAAGGGGGCCGGCGGTTTTTATTGCTCCTTCTGCTTGCGTCGCCTTGTAAGTGCGTTCTGCGTCCTTGGAGCTGAAGCACTCCCAGGTCGATGATGGTGCGAACATTGACTATGCCCCGCGAGCGTGACTGATACCAACGGCGTCTTACCCTGCTATTATCACGTGCCGATGGGGGATGATGCTGTTCCTCCAGCAGGGTGTCCACTCTTCGCAGGGTTTTACATCGCTCGCGTGCCGGCACGTCTGCTTCGGGCATGTCTTCCTGGTGCAGGCTGGTGGCCCGCAGGCGCAGCAGCGCAGAATGCGAAGAGGGAGCAGACTCTTCTCCCTCCTCCTCCTCCTCCTCCTCCTCCTCCTCCCTCCTCGTTTTCCTCTCTGGCAGCTTCTGCCGCATTCTGCACGCACCATCAGGCGCTCGGGGCAGGCTAAGAAGCCTCCGGGCGATTGCAGGATTCTTCCAGAGGCTCCCAGAGGCGCCACGTGAGGCTGCAAGAGGCGCTGGAAGTGATCCAGGGAGCGCTCAACATGATTATAGGCACGCATCTGAGGACTTCAATGCGGCCCAGGAGGGTATTACCTTTCTTCAGATCTGATGCTTTTCGGGTTCCTGCACGGGGCACAGCCGTCCTTCCCATGCCGTGCTCCAAGGTTTGTGTTTCAGAAACTCAGATTGCCCTCGGGATGTGAACGCTCCTCGCTCCACGATCAGCTTTCCCCTCACAGAGGGTGTCTCATTTCACTAGGTGCCCAGGGGTAGCGCCCCCCCCGGTTCGCCTGACTGGTGGCCTGTGGCGACGGGGAGAAGCATGACAACACTAACAGCGTGTGCGAAGCGCCTACCGCAGGCATTTGGGCTCAAGCCTTTCTGGCGCAAGGCCCGTCTCCGCTAGACTCTTTCGCTTGCACGGCAAACCGTTCGCCTGTGGGCCGCACGTGGCTCTGCCCCCTGTGCGCGGATGTCCGTGGCCGCGACGAAGACAAGCACGGCGACGAGGACCAGCACGGCCGCGAGGGTGATTGTCTTGACCAGCCTCCCGATCTCCCTCGCGTGGCGCTCCGCCGGGTTCCGCTGGGCGCAAGACGACATGCCGGCCGAGTTCTCCCGCATCGCGCCGCTGCTGCTCGGCTCGCTGCTGCTCTGCGTTGTACTTCTCTTCCTTCTCCTCGCGCTGCACGGCCGCGCGGAGGCCCGCAAGTTATGCAACAAGAGGTATGCCAGCGCCACCCTTCCGGGAGCCTTTTCCGCGTTGACTTTCGTACTTGAAAATTTCGCGCTCGCGAACGGCCTCAGCGCGACCTTGGTGGTTCTGCTCAACAAGTGCGCGATTCTGCCGGGCGTCCTCGGGGAGATCTGGTTGACGCGGACCACGCCGTACCGCACGCAGCTCCTCACCATGACGGCTTTGCTCTTGTGCATCGTTGTCTACTCGCTCGGTGACGAGGGAGAAATTGACATGTCGCTCGTCGGGTTGCTCTTGGGCCTTGGTGCAGCCCTCTCAGACGGAGTCGGCGACATCGCCTTTGAGGCTACGGCGAAGTCCTGCCTCGACGACCTGGAGGAAGATTCGGGTGCCGAGACGCTCAGGTGCTTCCTCGTGAGCGAGCTGTACAAGTGCGTGTTCAACATCATACTGATGCTCGTCTTCGAGCACAAGCACCTGTCGCGTGGTCTATTCCATGGCTGGGGCCTCCCCATGCTCGCCGGCGGTATCATGCCGCTCCCCGTGATGGTCGCGCTTTACAACACGGCCATCTTGACAGCCGGCAACTTGAAGACCAGGATCGTTGCGTCCGCCGATATCGGCATCGCCTACTTGATGGATGCGGTTATCTTCGGTGACACGGTCAGGATCTCCCAGTGCCTGTTGATCTTCGCCATCATCGCCCTGATCGGCGTCTATACCCAGTTCGCCGCCGACGTGCAGAAGGCCGCCGCAGACGCCCTCATCAGGTCGGAGAAGCCAGGCGCAGATGCTGTGTGTAGGGTGTGAGAAGTTTCCGCGGCCCCTCATCAGGGGAGCTCTGCGTCTCGGCCAAGGCAGCGGCTTTGCGGCCCCCTCGAGCCAGAGCGGCTTGAGCCAGGCTACGGAACACGCACACACACACACACACAACACACACACAACACACACACACACGCACGCACGCACACACGCACACACACACACAACACAACACACACACACGCAGACATACACGCACACACACACATACACACACATACACACACACACACACACACACACACACACACACACACACGCACACACACACACACACACCGAGGCCCTAGCCCAAAAGAAGGCTTCCACGGCTCAGGATGCACTTTGTTCGTGGCGGTTGCGGGTTCAACGGTGGAATGTCCCGCACAGCACCGATGCAAAAGAACACGGCCGACCAGTTGACATTCGGGCCCCCCCCTTGAATTGACGTCTTATTACCCCTCCCCCGCAACATGCTTTCGACCGCTTCAGTAGCGCTTGATTACGAGCGTGGCTCCTATTGCACACGTATTTTCCAACGATGTCGTCCGTAGGGTGATTTGTCTCTTACGTGGAAGGTCTTCGATCCGCGTGCACGTTGTTTTTATTGCCCTCCTGGTGCGAGCTCCGTTCTGGCGGCCAACTTGCAAATGCTAGGGATGGTGCAGACTCGCTTGCGGCTCCTGCTGCTTCGGTATAGTTTCAGAGAGCGTCTGCTGAGCTGGTTTGAGCTCGCCTGCGCTGTCCGGGATCTATGCCCAGTCTTTTTTTGTTGCGGCATTTTCCAGTGCTCCCTCGGCGGCATTGTCTGTTGCTGAGGGATGGCGCCTTAGTGAGAGGCGCAGCCAACATCTCAGCGGAGGCGGTATGGTTAGGATCCAGCCGCCTGCTGACGAGGGAAGGGGGAGGGGTCGTGGGGGTCGTCGTGGGCGTGGGAGTGGGGGGCGGGATGGAGGGAGAGCCCGCGGCCGCGGCTTTCAAAGCAGAGCTTCGAGGTAAGGTTCAGTTTTGTCATGGGGTGGTGCCCGAAGAGGCGCCCCGAGGGGCCTTCCCCTCTGTAGGGGTTGCCTTTTAGGGCCCCGAGGGGGGCCTTCCCCCCCAGCTGTCGGGGCCCTGACACCGTCTGTAGGGGTTGTTAGGCTGGTGCCTGCGCAGGGGCTTAAGCTGATCGAGTCGGCTGTGAGTTGACAGATCTTCGTAACTTTTTATAGCCTCCAGCGGTTCAATATCAAGATCAAGTCTTTTTTGTTACCAACTTCGAAGGTTATAGGTCCGACCTTGCCGACCAAGGTTATGGCCAATATTGACGATTGTCATTACTTTGACCGCGCCGACTTCTCACAAGCACCTCCCTCTTCTTCCTCAGCAAGCAAATAGATTACCCCCGTCGTCATCCCTCACCATTTCAAGTATATGTTTGAGTGTCGTGGGTGTAAGCGGTCCCGTTTTTTTGTTCCCCCATGTAGGGCAACAGCGTTTGGGCAGCAGTCTTCTATTAGATCATGGGTTGCTGCTCGCGTCTCCGCAGCCGCCTGCAGCAGGCATCGAATGCCTCTCATAGCGCGCGTCTCGCATGATCCCGCCTGAGCAGGGTTTTTTGCAACCTCCTCCTCCTCCTCCTCCTCCTCCTCCTCCTCCTCCTCCTCCTCCTCCTCCTCCCCCTCTTCCTCCGAGTCGACTCGCGCAGCGCGCGCATCGGGTTTTCGAGTCATGGTGGTTCCCGAGAAAAGAAGGAACACATGCGAAGCGCCTGCACAGGCAGCCTACGCTCCGATGCGATGCGGTTCGATTCGCCGGTTCGGTTCGCTTCGCCAGCAGCGGCCGGGGCCAGCGGAGCCGGCCGCTGGCGATCCGATGCCGATGCCGATGCAGTCCGCGCTCGCGATATTCGATCCAGTCTTCAGGCCTGCCCCGTGCCCCCGCCTCGCCCAGCTCTGCTTCCCCCTGGGCGGGGATGGGCCTGTTCTCCACCACCACCACCATCAGTTGGAGGGGGGAAGGAGGGGGAGGAGGAGGAGGAGCAGGAGGAGGAGGAGGAAGAGGAGGAGGAGGAGGAGGAGGAAGACGAGGAGGAGGAGTGGGGAGGAGGAGGAGGAGGAGGGGAATCAGGGGCAAGGTTGGGGCGGGTTGGGGCGGGATCGGCTCGAGGGACGGCGTCGACCCCCAATCGCCCCGTCCTCGCCGAAGAGAGGCCTGACAGCCCACCCCGCCCAGGAACGCACTGTTTTGCGCTACCGACAGCCAGTCGCCGATCTATCGGCGATGCATGGCCGATTCCATGTCGATGTTCCCCCGCCCCGCCCCCTGAGCTTCCAAACCCCGACGTCAGTGTTTTTTCATACCTTGCGAGCCAGAGGTTTCGACCCATTCCCTGGGACCAGCTTCTCATCCTGGGTTGTTTTGTTGACGGTCCTTCGGCCCGGGAAGGGCCCCAGGATGCCGACGGTGAAAAATCACCCGTTGTGATTTTTGCATGTCCCCCCCCACCCAGAGTCCCCCCCCTGTGTGTAGTTTGTTCGCCGCGATTAAGTCGGGCCTGTCCCTCTACAGGGGAATATTCAAAAACAGTCCAAACATAGTCTGGGGCTATATTTCTTGAGCACTCTCTGCCATCTTGGAGCATCGTTTGCACGTTTTTATGTCTCGTCGAGGATCCCCCTGCAGGGGGACGCGCCCGACTTCACCCCGCGAGCTCGAGGCTCGTTGACTGCCCCCACTGCCCGTGCCGCCCGGTGGGTGCGCGCCGCGCCGGCGCGGCGCGGCCCCGCCGCGAGCGCGCCGGGCAGAACGCCTCGAACTCATCCCTACCCCCAAGATTGACACGCCAAAAGGCGATGACAATCTCAGGGGTTCGCCCCCAGAAGATAGGGGGATCCCTAAGATTGGCCTCGAAGTTACCCCGATCCCCAAGATTGGCACGCCAGAAGGCCCCACCCGCACGCGCAGCGCGCCCGCCCTGGCAGCCCGCGGCGGCACACCGCTTTTCCCGCGCGGCGCGGCGCGACGGCGCCCTCGCCCGCGGCGGCGCTGTCGTGCCCCCGAGGCGCCCCCTCGGGGCGCGCGCCGCCCCCCCCCCCCCCCGGGAGGGGGGCGGGGCGGCGCACACAATGTCACTTGCCGGCCTCGAACTTGTCCCCATCCATGCGCACCGAGGGAGGGGGGGGGGAGGAGGAGGAGAGGGAGGAGGAGGAGGAGGAGGAGGAGGAGGAGGAGGAGGAGGAGGAGGAGGAGGAGGAGGAGGAGGAGGGAGGGGGAGGACTGACACTGTCCCCATCCCTGAGACTGCCACGCCAAAAGGCGACGACAATCTTACGGGGTTCGCCCTCAAAAAATAAGGGGACCCCTAAGACTGACACGCCAAAAGGCGATGACCACCTCAGGGATCCGCCCTCAAACAATAAGGGGATCCCTAAGATTGGCACGCCAGAAGGCGACGGCAATCTCAGGGATGCGCCTTAAAAAAATGAGGGGACCCCTAAGACTGGCACGCCAAAAGGCGATGACCATCCCAGGGATGCGCCCTCAAAAAATGAGGGGACCCCTAAGATTGACACGCCAAAAGGCGATGACAATCCTAGGGGTTCGCCCTCAAAAAAAAGGGGATCCCTAAGACTGACACGCCAAAAGGCGATGACCATCTCAGGGATCCGCCCTCAAAAAATAAGGGGATCCCTAAGATTGGCACGCCAAAAGGCGATGACAATATTTAGGGGTTCGCCCTCAAACAATAAGGGGATCCCTAAGATTGGCACGCCAAAGGGCGATGACAATCTCAGGGATGCGCCCTCAAAAAATAAGGGGATCCCTAAGATTGGCACGCCAAAAGGCGATGACAATCTTAGGGATGCGCCCTCAAAAAATGAGGGGACCCCTAAGATTGACACGCCAAAAGGCGATGACAATCCTAGGGGTTTGCCCTCAAAAAACAAGGGGACCCCTAAGACTGACACGCCAAAAGGCGATGACCATCTCAGGGATCCGCCCTCAAAAAACAAGGGGATCCCTAAGATTGGCACGCCAAACGGCGATGACAATCTTTAGGGGTTCGCCCTCAAAAAATAAGGGGATCCCTAAGATTGGCACGCCAAAAGGCGATGACAATCCTAGGGATGCGCCCTCAAAAAATAAGGGGATCCCTAAGATTGGCACGCCTAAAGGCGATGACAATATTTAGGGGTTCGCCCCCAAAAAATAAGGGGGATCCCTAAGATTGACACGCCAAAAGGCGATGACAATCTTTAGGGGTTCGCCCCCAAAAAATAAGGGGGATCCCTAAGATTGACACGCCAAAAGGCGATGACAATCTTAGGGATGCGCCCTCAAAAAACAAGGGGATCCCTAAAACTGGCACGCCAAAAGGCGATGACAATCTTAGGGATTCGCCCTCAAAAAACAAGAGGATCCCTAAGATTGGCACGCCAAAAGGCGATGACAATCTCAGGGATGCGCCCTCAAAAAACAAGGGGATCCCTAAGATTGACACGCCAAAAGGCGATGACAATCCTAGGGATTCGCCATCAAAAAACAAGGGGATCCCTAAGATTGACACGCCAAAAGGCGATGACAATCTTAGGGATTCGCCCTCAAAAAACAAGGGGATCCCAAAGATTGACACGCCAAAAGGCGATGACAATCTTAGGGATGCGCCCTCAAAAAACAAGGGGATCCCTAAGATTGACACGCCAAAAGGCGATGACAATCTTAGGGATGCGCCCTCAAAAAACGAGGGGATCCCTAAGATTGGCACGCCAAAAGGCGATGACAATCTCAGGGATCCGCCCTCAACAAAATAAGGGGATCCCTAAGATTGACACGCCAAAATGCGATGACAATCTCAGGGATGCGCCCTCAAAAAACAAGGGGATCCCTAAGATTGACACGCCAAAAGGCGATGACAATCTTAGGGATTCGCCCTCAAAAACAAGGGGATCCCTAAGATTGGCACGCCAAAAGGCGATGACAATCTCAGGGATCCGCCCTCAACAAAATAAGGGGATCCCTAGGATTGGCACGCCAAAAGGCGATGACAATCTCAGGGGTTCGCCCCCCAAAAATAGGGGGACCCCCAAGATTGGCATCGTGATGAGGAGATGCCCAGCACAGGGACAGGGATATGGTCCAGGC